TAGATGGGCGTGGCAGAGAGCGGGTGTAGATGGGCGTGGCAGAGAGCTGGTGTAGATGGGCGTGGCAGAGAGCGGGTGTAGACGGGCGTGGCAGGCCGACTGGTAAAACACTGAAGGGTAAAATCTGTCTGAGGAATAAACATAACCAAAAAACAGAAAGACAATTAAAAATGAGCCAGACAGCGGTCCTGACATTTAACTGACGTTCCATCAACTAATAGGCTGCTCTGCGTTAATACTTTGACATTTTAATGCAACAAAGTTTTTGCATGTCTTCTCCGAGTGCGACTCTGAAGGATTCCTAGATGGATTAAAAACAGATTTACTGAAAAGTTTAATTAGTACTGCTGCTGCAAACACAGTGCAGCCCAGCAATTCACCCTTTAACACACAACATCCTGTTGTGGGCCCTACTCTTTATATTGCTTTTAAATGGAGCACAAAATACAGACTATAATTTATGTATATTACGGGTTTCGCAATAAGATGCAACCAAAGGAGGCCTAATGTGAACGAGTGTGAAAGAGCAATTTAAGAGTAGATGCCTGTGCCAGTGCCAAGGGCTGTACAAGATTTGCATGCTAATCATTCTAATAATAATATAATGCCCTGAGCACTTTGAGCAAATTGGGAACCACTGGTCATAGAAGGGGCTTATCTCGACCAGAACACGACACAAATATAGGATAACATTTGAATGATTCCTGGTAATTCAGGGACCTGCAAGGAGTCTGGTTCATCTCAATTAGGAGCGGTTTGCGCCCCATTTTTATCAATTCAGGAATAAAAATTCAATAGAAATTAAATTTACCTCTTTGAATATGTTTGTTCTGAGCTGCGATGCTACCACAGAGCAGTAACAACAACAAATGTTGGCCAAAACAAACAAATTAAACCGACTTTTGTCGAAAACAGGTTGTTTTTCCGTCTCGTGCGCTCTACTTTAATTGCTATTGCTAGCGCGTTCTGATTGGACGATGCTGTTAGCGATTAGCCAATCACCGCTTTCCAAAATGTTACGTCACCGTGTTTACCCGGAAGTAGAAGCCACAACTGTTTACAGTGGTGTTCTCCTCGGTTTGCCGAGTTCCTGTTGGATTTTAGAGGAAATTGATGAGTTTTGGTGTAAAATTCTGAGTGGGGATGTACAGCGGGCTCCTGCCGAGAGGTTTAACCGAACACGACCTGAGTTCGGACCCAGAGGACGAAAGTGTTGATAAGAAGGAGCTGACTGAAGGTTTGAGCGGTTCCGTTTCGAAATCCGGCGCAGACGATGATTCACGGAGTTTACCGGGAATATCAACGGAATCTTGGCAAGTACGTTGTCCTGTAAATGATCATCTTCACTCAGCGTGCTGAACGTAACTATCGCCCGCCGCCGAAGGCCAAAGCCATAACGTTGTTGGTCGTGTCTGTCTGTTAGCAAAATATCTCATGAGTCCATTGAGGGAGTTTAATGAAACCTGCAGAAAGTAATCACTGAATATTAAACTACAACTGATTAACTTTTGGACTCAGCCCAATTCAAAATGGCTGCTACAGCCAACAACCTTAAAAAAAAAAAAGTCAATAACTCAGTTAGTTTTTCAGATATGAACCTAAAATTTGGTGTGATAGTAGCTGAGACTGATCCTCAGTGCATGTTCTGAGGGCTAAGATATTTGTGTACAGTTTTGACTTAACAAAATGAAGCACTCACTGTCTGTTAGCAAAATATCCTTTAAACTTCTGGATGGATTTAAATGAAACATACAGGAAATAATCGTTAAACATACATGTAGAACTGATTATGGTTCGGAGCTGACCTGATTAAAAATGGCCGCCACAGCTAGCTATCCTTAGAAAACACAGTCATGGCTATAATGAATTCAGTTTTAGAACATGTGCTGAAAATAGGGGTGGTAGTAGCTGAGAGTCATTCAACTGTTGAACTAGAAGTGCTACTAGGTTCAAGGGATCTTAATTGTTTGCATCAACTGCCTGTTAGCAAAATATCTCCCAAGCCACTGGATGGATTGTAATGAAACTTACTTTAAGATGGCTGCCACATCTATAAAACACAGTCGGTTAGTTTTGCAGTAATGAACTAAAACGTGACGTGGTAGTAGCTGAGAGTCATCCTCGGCACGTCCTCTGAGCGTCACATGCTCGGATCATGACATCGTGCACAAAGTCTGATAAACTGGATCTGTCGTTTCTCAACATCAGAAGGTTTTACATTGAAAGTCTCGCAGGAAAGGCGGCGGGCGATATGCATTCCTTCGTGCTGCGTTGTTTTTTTGTTTTTTTTGACGGACTGGGTTTCGGTTTGTGAAACTTTTAGTTTTTATTCCAGAAATTCCAGGAGCTCCGAAAGAAGAAGGATGAGATGGAGGCGGTGAAAGTTCACGACAAAAGAAAAAGGAAACGCAGGAGAGGTAGCAGCAGTTAAACACTCTGGATTATTTTTAATGTTTGTTTTCCTGTTTGACTCGAGTGATTTCTGTGATTCGCAGGTAGAAGAAGTGAAGAACCTGCAGAGACCAGGTCGCTGCGACCATCACGCCCTCAGCCAGACAGGAAGTTGATCAAATAAAGTTTGAGGCTGGAAATAAACATGTTCACACTAAATATCTAAATATTCATGCAAGCAGGGTGTGCTATAAAATAATTTCAGGGAACGTCAAACATTATTTTAATAAGATACTTTTAACGTACACCATACAGAGAATATATAAATAAATACATCTTAGTGGAATTAATAATTTCAAATTAAAGGTCTATAGCTCTGCATGTCGCCCGCCAACAGATTCATCTGGTCCTTTCACTAAACTCAGGCTGAGACCGAGACGCCTTCTGGTCGCCTCCGTGTCATTTCTGAATGGACCGGGGGGAGGGGGGGGGGGAGCCAGCCCACCCCTGATGCTCCTTGGTGCAAGTAGTAACAGAGGTGAAACGGTCGACGTGTGAAAAGGTGAACAGTGAGCACCTGGTCACGAGGTTAAACATCAACAGACGGATTTATATCGAGGGAAGATTGATGACGACACTCAGAAACTTCATATTTAGTTTAAAAAATGTTAATCCTAAAGAGAATCTGTAGACCGAGTTAATTTTCTGTGTTTAGAAAACGTGAAGATGTCCGACACACATTGAAGGTGTGCTCCACGTCAACCCCGCTGAGTTCTGCTTCACGCCTCCTGTGGAAGCTCCGCCTCTGCAGGACGTGGCGTTGACTCCCAACGTTAACCAGTTGTAGTCCTACATCCAGTGTTTCCACTACCATTACCCAAGGAGGGCGCCCCGCCCCGCCTACTGAAATGTCCTTCACCCACAGCTCCACTACCCCCCCCCCTCCAATCGATTACCACCGGCTCTGACGTAGCGCTAAGCTAACTGTGCGCAATACAGATGTGCTAGCTAAAACGCTAATGATGTAGTCGTAACGCTTCGCTTCCCCCCCGGTCAACAACTGACGGCACTAACAGTAGCACTCAACACAGACATGTCTCCGTCTCCCTCTGTCTGTGCCCCCCCCCCCAAGTAAAAAAATAAAAACCGGAATAGATGAGCGCCCTGCCAGAGCAAGTGACGCAGAGGAAGCATGGCGTACATCTGACGGTTTATGATCCCAAATGAAGCTCGCTCCTTCTCAGTGTGAAGTCCTGATGGTCACTCCATCGAGGACTGATCCAAGTGTCTCTAGTTCTGTCTTCTGTCCCCGTGTGTGTCTCCATTCTACAGGACTTCTTGTTCTCTCTGTAATCCTGACGGCCCACACCCAAACCCCGCGGACTTCGGTTATATCTTCTAAACAGGAAGTGAATATTAGTTTGAACTTGTCTCCATAAATCACAGCAGAAACATCTAAATCAACGAGCGGCGACCGGATGCTGCCACAGTTCAGGAAGTCCTGCACTTTGTCTTTTGTCACAGTGACGGGTCGGCTGAGGCGTACTTTCTACTCTGCGGTTCTGCCTGTCTTGTTAAGAGTGCTACCGATACGGTCCTGTGGTTGCCATAGTAACATGTGATGGGTGGATGTTCAGCTTCTCTGTTTCATCTCAGCCAAAGTTCTGGTTGATTTTAGATCCTGAAGAAGGCGGAGCTTAAAAACAATAACTGTTGGATGTCCGGCCCCTGAGCTCCTGGTCTAACAGTGCCCCCCCCCAGCCTGGTATTGTGTCCATAACTTCTGATCCGCTGAAGATAATTTAACAAAACTTCACACACAAATACATCACCAGAGTGTCACGTACACTTTTCATCACCCCAGCTCCAAGGTCACAAATCAAGGTCAAAGGTCATACAAGGTCTTTGCTATAGATTGCTGTGTAAGTTTGTCAGTGGGCGTTGAACGTGTTGTCCTCTTGTTGTCAGGAGCAGTCAGGACGCCAGTGAGGAGCACTGGAAGGAGCTGAAGCAGTACTTCCACGTGAACGATCGATTCCTCCCCCCCGCCTGCTCCAGACCACCTGCGCAGGTAAAGAACCGCCTCCTGACGGACGCCCTGCGGGTTCCTCCTGCGTCTGACTTTATCTTCTTGTTTTCTGTGATCTGACACGTGGATTACAGGAACCCTTTGTACGACCCGACAGGGAGGAGAATATCAGGGATTATGTTCGGCAGCACGCAGTCATTAGATTACAGAGGAGAAGTTAAGATTAAAGAGAGATGAAGCTGCTTTTACTGAAAAAAGATTAAAAACATCTAAAAGACGACAGACTGAAGCTGTTTTCTTCTTCTTCTTTCTGCTGTTCTCTTCAGAGGTCTCCACAGCGAGTCATCCTCTTCATCTGTCCTCACTCCATCCACCTCCATGTCCTCTCTAACTGCATCCAGATGTCTCCTCTTTGTCTTTTTCCTGTAGCTCCATTTCTAACATCCTTCTAACCCTAACCCTAAGAGCTCATTAAAAGTAGCAAAATGCTATCTAAAGAAGCTAAAGATAGAACGCTAGCAGCTGAAAATTAGCTAAATGTGGCAAAATGCAGCTGCAACCTAAAAGTAGCAGAAGAGTAGCTAAAAGGAGTTATAGGCTACTTAAAAATTAGTAAAATGCTAGCCATCTTTTAGCTGTTCCTTCTTCGGGGGTCTCCACAGTGAGTCGTCCATCTCACTCTGTCCTCACTCCAACTACCTCCATGTCCCCTCCTGTGGACATGTCCAAACCACTGTCCCTCCTGTGGACATGTCCAAACCACTGTCCCTCCTCTGGACATGTCCACACCACTGTCCCTCCTCTGGACATGTCCACACCACTGTCCCTCCTCTGGACATGTCCAACCCACTGTCCCTCCTCTGGATATGTCCAACCCACTGTCCCTCCTCTGGA